CTGCAGGATCTGGCCCTAAGGTTAGTGCTCACTACCATCAGTAGTCACATAACTTTTAGTGGAAATATTCATGATAGCAAACACTAAAAACTCAGTAGTTGTGTGATTGGGACCTATGTTAAATTAAGTATAGAGGATAAAAGTATTAAGAGCTTTTAGGTGTAGACTGGGCAGGACAAAGATGAAAAACAATAAGAACAAGTGGTTGCTTGGGTGAAGAGAGAATGTTTTGGGCGTTACACAAGTTTCCATTCTTTTAGGGTATAAAAATTAAGACTACTTATATTTTAACTTTTGCATAGGGCTGATTGCAGGACATTATAACAGATATGGCATACGTATTAACTAGAGTTTTTAAGGGAAAGTTCTGGAACCCACAATATTTTGAGTTCTTTCTAATGAAAATTCTTGTTATGCAACTGAAGTTCCCAAATACACTAGTTTCTATTCAAATAACTGAATGCTCTGACCAGCTCATTTGCTTGAACAACAGTTAACAGTGGAAAGTTTCAGAAGACCTTACTCCCTCCAAAATTAAAGGCCTTAGTAGCATTTACTTCAGTAGGACCCAATGAGAACACAAAATATTATGTTCAGCTTGAGATCTTTCTTTGCCAATATATGCAATAGTGTTCACATACAACAGTTCTACTCAGCACCTTTTCTAATTACCACAGTCACTCTGAAAATGAGTGCATGGATGGTGGTGATGGGCTTTCAAATGAAAATTGTCCTTAATTCTAAAAATGTCAGAACAGTTTGTTCAAAATGGACTAAACCCATCGTCATCCCTACTCTGGCCCCTTTATGCCTGGTAAAAGGGCAACAGCAGTGTTAAGGATACCTAAAAGCCTCAGTTCTGGTTGCAGAGAAATTCCTACTGCACAGATACCAAAGAAGATCATAAGATGGCCTTCCAAGGCCTGCTTTCAAACCCTAGCACTAGGGTTACCAGTTTTGGTTGGATGTATTCCAGCAGATTTCATCACATGACATAATCTTTAATTAAAGATTAATCTTTAAGTCCTAGAGACTCCAGGCCAATCCTGGAGGGTTGTCAACCCTATCTAGCACAGAGGATGATATGTCAGAGGCATGGGCATGCCAGGGCAGGACCCAAAGCACACAGCCCAGTGACCCATATGGCAGCCTCAGGATACTACCATAATTTAGACAGGTTTCCGGGGCTGTCTCGGTTATGATGTGAGCTATTCCAGACAACAGAACAGTACAGGCTCAGATGGGGTGCAAAGGATACTTAAAGCCACCTTAGCCACAACCACCTCAACCCTTGGTCTGCAAATTCTGTGTTGTGTCTGTCAGAAACACAGCACAGAATCTCACTCATTGCCTCCACTGAGATCCTACTCTACTGGGTTGTGCACACGTACCCTTATTTTACTGGCAGTTTGAATTATCTGAGAAAATGTTATTAACTTTCATAGAACTTCCCCAAAATAATTCCAAGATCTGATCTTTTTAGAATAACATCCAATCTTGATCTAAAAAGGGTTAGTGATGAAGAATCCAACACAAACCTTGGTAAATTGTTCCAATGGTTAATTACTGTCAGTTAAATATTTAAACCTTATTTCCAGTCTGATTCTATCTAGCTCCAACTTCCAGTCACTGGATCACGTTATACCTTTTAGACTGAAGAGCCCATTATTAAATATTTATGCCCCATGTAGGTACTTACAGACTATCAAGCCACCCCTTAACCTTCTCTTTGTTAAGCTCAATAGATTGAGCTCTTGGAGTCTGTCACTCTAAGTCATGTTTTCTAATCCTTTAATCATTCTCGTGGCTCTTCACTGAACCCTCTCCGATTGATCAACGTCTTTCTTGAACTGTGAGCACCAGAACTGGACCGTATTCTAGCCATGGTCACACAAGTGACAAAGACAGAGGTGAAATAACCTCTCTGCTGCTACTCAAAATTCCCCTGTTTACACATCCTAGGATCGCATTAACTCTTTTGGCCACAGTATCACAACAGGAGCTCAGGTTTGGTTGATGAGCTACCATGACCCCCAAATCTTTTTCAGTCACTGCTTCCCAGAATAGAGTCCCCCATTCTGTAAGTATGGCCTACGTTCTTTGTTCCTAGATGGATACATGGACATTTATCCGTACTAAAACAGTTCGCTTGTGCCCAGTTTACCAAGCTATCCAGATTGCTCTCAATTAGTGACCTGCCATCTTCATTACCTACCACTCCGTAATTTGTGACATCTACCAACTTTATCAGTTATGATTTTGAAAGCATATTGAAAGACTACGAAAGCACAATCTGTATTGATGACTATTATAGTTAATGATATTTAGAAAAAAACTGAGCAGAATGACAAAAAGCATTTTTTTAAAACAAGGAGCAAAATACAGAACAGATTTTGACACTGCATAGATTATTTAACAACATTTGGTCTTGAACCAAATTTTAATCAGCTGCATTTTGAAATGGCCATACAAATATAGAGGACATTGTTAAGAGAAATACACATTGTCATTACACTGAAAGCCACTAATTTATCAGAGTAACAGGAAGACAATATTCAAAAAGAAAAAATCTTTATTTTGGAGAAAAAGTGCTGTAACTTTCGGAATTACTGGAAAAATATATTACAGTAAGTTGTATGCACTTTCTTTCATCCTGCCTTAAACTGAAGCATACACTAACAAAATTTGAATAAAACAATTAAAAACAAACTGTGTATTCAATATTGTTGCAAGATTAAAAATTAATGCCACTTCTCTACAGTTCTACTCCATATTCTTTTTACATATTTAACTTTACCATATTTACCATTCAACTGCCTATACTTTCCTTTACATATTTAACCACTTCCCCTTTAATGAATGAGAATTTTTTATTCCAGCACATTTTCCACTATTATATACTTGCACTTTCTACTGTTCATCAGGAGAAATAGCTATATATTCTGCCTCAGCCATTAAGATTCAATTTTAAGTAACTTCAAAATATTGCTAAGAGTTACAATAATCTGCAATTCCTTGACAAACTGCATTTAAAGATTATTGTCCAGTACAATGCAATTAAGATGCTAATTTTTCAGAACAGAAAAAAAGCATTCTTTAGACCGGAGACTTGATTTTTCATAGAATAAGCCCTTCAATTCAATTCTCAGAAAATTAACTTTTCCACCTATCTCTAATACAGCAGTACTCTTGGTAACTGAAATGTAAGCCTTCCTGTATTATGCATTTTTTAAGCTTTTACTACAGTTGCTGAATATCTACTGTAATACACTGCTAGCCCTTAACCTAATCGTCTTTTGATTACAAGCTTTTTTCTAACACTGTACAAGCAAGGATAATTTCTAATAATCTACCATGTATTTTACATGTGAAAAAGTTGGAGAAAAAAAAATCTTGAAGCGATTTGGCTTAGCTTTAAATTTTTATTAAAAAAATATACAAATTGTTCTATTATTCCAATGTATTAGTTAGTAGGGAAAGGACTGGGCTGCTGAATACTGGATCTTTTAAAAAACAATTAAAACTATATCCCTATTAAACATCTGCTAAAAACTAGTATGCTGTATCTTACATATTGGGCATGTGGTTACAGCGACTATACAAACATGTGAGTGCTGACAAAGCCAATCTGTATGAAAGTAATATTTTGAATTCAATCAAACAAGCCCATACAACTTGATTCTGTTAAAATATTTTAGCAAGGAGAGAGGAAGAAGGTAACCCTTTAGCAAATACTTTCCCAAAGAATCAGCTCAGGCAAACCCCAACAAGTTTGGAAAGGAACAGAATTATGACAGATGTTCTTTAAGAAGCCAAAGGCTTCAGGCAAAACGGATTTCTTTTGCAGCATATTTGTGAAGCTGTACTTCTATATTTTTTGAATACTTTATGACTTATGTGATTATTAATGTAATTTTCTGAAAAATCTGATCCAGATCTCATACTTTTATGGTGTGAGATATTTGCACACAAAGTACTGCAAGGTTACATTGTATTACAATGTCTTCCTCTTTCTTTAAGTATAAAGATAGCTTTAAAAAAAAAAAACACATTAAAAACATGCATACAATAGATTTTTTTTTAAAAACACATACTGATGAAAAAAACTATATCCATTATTTTTTAAAAGGGCCTATAAACTTATTTGCTCCAAAAGACGGTGCCATCACACAGTAGCTTAAGAAAAACTTTTGAAATCCACAACATTTCCTGCCTGAGTGCTTCAAATTTCCTATCACAATGCTGCACAGATCAGGTTTGAGGTCTTTCACTTTGTTGAAACACACAAAACTCTAAGCAAACAGACACATTATGGAACACATTTGAAAATAAATAAAACTCAGTAAGTGACATACTTACTTACCAGAGCCTGATGTTTTCCCATTTAGTGATAGTATGTCTTTTAGGTTTCCTGATGCTTTTTACCTTTTTGATTAAAAATACAGCTGACTGCTACAATCCTTAAAATGGCCGCACTGCTTAGCCAGCAAACCCATGCTAGTGACTGAGTTGCAATATTAAAAGAAAAATAGAACAAAACATTTGCTTCTCCTATGGTGAAGCTTAAAATATCCATGCTGGCATCTTCAATCATGGAGCTACCTTGGAAGTTGCTGCTGCTCAAAGTAGCTGCAGTAAAAGTTCTGCTACATTCTTGCCTTCTGCATGGTTTTTCAGCTAAAACAGATCAGAACAGGCTAGCAAACAACTCCTTCCTAAATGAAAGCTCTAATTTCTTCTTCTGCAGTGAAATGAACCAAGTTTCTATGCTAAAGAATGAGTGACAGTATTGCCAGCCAATCAGCTTGGGTTTTTCAGGAAAATCACCCCTTAATTCATTCAAAATTAGGTCATATGACACTATTTGAAATGCTATTGGCTTAAAATGAATATAGTGTTTTACCCTAATCAGGATAAGGCCACCCATCTATGCCTCCCTAGAATGAAGATACCTTGACTATAAACATACTAGGAATATTAAAAAAAGAATGCAGACTTACCAGAGCTTCCCAACTATTAAAGGGCCGGTGCTCCGTTATCTTCTGAGCCTTTTTCTGAGAACACTGAGGAATCAAAGTGAGTTCACCTAGTGAAGCATCTTGCAGGAAGCTAACTATTTTAGTTTTGTAACCATCCTCCATCACTTCATCACCACTGCTGTAGTCCTCATCAAGGGAGCTACCGCCTTCTGAAGCTGACTCGTATTCTGAATCTTCTGTTTCTCGTTTAGTCCTCCAAACACCTTTTTTGCCTTTATCTTTTTTCCTAAAGCCATTCTGAGCTTTTGCAGAAGATTTCTGTTTCACCTTCACTTTAGTGTCATTATTATAGTGCTTTTTGCTATTTGTGGAGACTTCGTTCCAACTAGAAACTTCACTTTTGGAAGGATATTGCACATCTGTGTATGTAATGTAAAAAAGTAAATGACAAATAAGATGCATTGTTCAAGAGCAAAAATCTTCATAAGAACTGCTGCTTTTCAAAATAAAGGCTTATGTAAACGCCAACACTCTCCTCTGCTTTATATATAGCATGGAACATATTTCAGTTTACTAATTGTAAACCTTTATTCAAGCTGCGTTTGGAACCTTTCCCTGTATATTTAGAAAGATGTTGTAACTAACACAGCAAATACAAAATTATCAAGTAATTGGAATCATAATGAAAAGACTTAAACCATAAGATTAGAACACTATATACAATTCTAATTAAAAGCCAAGTAATTTCAACTTGTTAAGTATCAAATATAAATTCAGAGAATCTATATTGGACTTAAGCTACACTGCCAGTCACACAATGGTTTAATTAACTGTATTAAGGCAAAAATGGTCAAAATTGTAATATGTATAAAGCAACCTTTGATACTCTAAGGAATCTGACATAGATGTTTGATTTTAATGGAATAGTCCCCCCCCCCCGCCAAAAAAAAATAATTATGCTGATAAATCAGGCTTGTTTGCTTAATTTAACACATATTTTCACCACAAAAAAAGCATAAACCTAGTCTCACTTTACTGCATCGCACAGCAGCATTACGGGCGGGACACCAAAAGCATGCACCTGTTAAAGTAACTTGAGGAACTAGAGTTTTTAAAATAAACAAACAATGGTTTTGGTTGTTATAAACTTCTGATTTTTTATAACCCTAATCATGTTTTAAAATAAATTAACTCATTTTTTTCTTAAAATAAATTATCAGTCCTTTTTAGAAAAAAAAAGTGTCAAGGTGTATCCTTTTGACCTCTCAATTTAAAAATATACTTTAATACCTACTATTAATACTGTAATGTCTATTCTCCTGTCTAACCCTGCTTTAGGTTAATAAATCCTAAGCAGCCCTTTTTCCTAAAAAAGGAAAGGCAATGAGCAGCTGCCTTTCAACAATGATATCTCTTCCATGGAGATGAAGATCACATAAAAAGCACTATCCTATCCCAATGAGTCTTCGAGACGCACACTTAAGTACAAGTTATTACATTCATGCACAAACCTATTATAGGTTGTTTTCATAAGTAATTGGAATCCATTTATCCACCTATCAGCCTATAGCAACCCAACAGCCCATCATACACTATCTTAAAAAAAATTATTTTGTTGTGTTGATACACCCAAAGATACAGCCTCTGTAATCCTGGGAATAAATTCTCAACACCCTTCCTGGAACCAAGTGCACAATAAGCATTATATGCTCCTAATCTATAATTTTGATTCTGTATTTTTTCCTCATATTTTACCAACATTTTCTGCCAACAAGTCTATGAAAACAAACATTCTTAAACAAAGAAAATTATAGAAATTGCCTAGGGAGGTTTTGGAATCTCCATCATTGGAAATTTTTAAGTGCAGGTTAGACAAACACCTGTCAGGAATGGTCTAGATAATACTTAATCCTGCCAAGAGTGCAGAGGACTGGACTAGATCACCTCTGGAGGTCCCTTCCAGTCCTATTATTCTATGAGAACTAGAGTAATAAAAGACCCTTGTAAAATAGCCTTTTGCATGTATGAAGTCTTGTTGCTACAGCTGGGCCTTGACTTTTAGATGATCAGATTAAAATCTCCAAACTGAGTTTCCTTAATCACATCACCAATGACTTGATTTAAAAGATACATTTGTTTATGTACTTGTGACATACATATCCTAATGGAAACACAACTGAAATGATATTTCATTTTGTAAATTCTTCAAATCAGAAATACTCTCTACTTTTGTATAGTAGAAAGCACACTGCGGTTACTGACTTTGATTGGTGCTTCTTGGCATTACTGCAATATTAAAGAATTAAGGTACAGTATCTGCTCATATTAAATATGGAGTATTTCCTTTGCAGTAGTCTGCATATTTGTCAGTGGTGTAATGCTTATTTCTACCAAATTTCATGTATTGGTATTTCACTGGACTTTTAAGAATATTGTTTGCATTATTTCACCCTAAATACAGTCGACATTACTTCTATGCTAACAGACTTCTTAAATAGGATAGACTGATTTACTGAGTCACTTTTATTGCCTTGAGATTAGTACTTTGTGAACTACTCAATTCAACGAGAATCATGTTTAATGTTTTCTTATCACAAAGAATATTATATATATAAACAAACAGGGCAGTGGTTCTCAAACTTTTGTACTGGTGACCCCTTTCACAAAGCAAGCCTCTGAGTGCGACCCCCTCATCCCCCCTTATAAATTAAAGACACTTTATCTATTTAACACCATTATAAATGTTGGAGGCAAAGTGGGGTTTGGAGTGGAGACTGACAGCTCACAACCCCCACATGTAATAACCTCGCAACCCTCTGAGGGGTCCCGACCCCCAGTTTGAGAACCCCTAGAATAGGGAGTTATGCTCATAAGGGTAAATTTGCACTTGACAAACGAATATACTTGCCTTAACTTCCATATAAAAAGGCATGCAACTCCATACAAATAGGATGCGAATTCAACATATATACTTTCTTTTTCAACATTAAAAACCAGTTTCTTTTACATTCTTTTCCTTTCTCCCCCCTTAAAAACTGTTTTTGCACATCACTGCAACTTTTAAGATATTATCTTAATCACTGTCAGGATTGTCTTATTTAGACATTAGGGAGATTTACACTGCTCGCATCTGTTATTTTATTACAGAATAAAATGGACTGTAAATCTATCTTTATTTACCCTGTTGGTCTTCTGCAAATACTTTTAAAGACTCCAGTGCTTCATGAAACACCCAGTTATGTTCTTGAAGTACATCTTTCAGTTCCTATTAAAACAGGATTTTCATTATCGCACCATTATGCACAAAGTATATTCTTTAACAATTAGGAACAAGAGCAGCACTTCTCAAACAAGTACCTGATAAAACCTTTGATTAATCCCTATGCTTATGCACAGGATGCATGATGCATACTAAATATATTGTAACTAAGCACCTGATTTTTTAAAAAACTGTTCGTAACTTCAATTATCTCCCTATGATGCAACAGGACTTCTAATTAAAGTTAACAGTATTCTAGATGAAAATGCAAGGAAACACTGTACACAAACGTCAGAATATTGCACAACATCAATTTACCACCTTCCTAGTAAATGGTAGTATACTTGGCATTCCACATTTAAAATATAAAACCACTAAAAGCTCTTTATACAACCATCATCACAGTTTCTAATAATTCTTCCTCTAAAAACCAGGTATCCCACGTAATGGCCTATACAGATAAGCCTACTCCAGTTTAAAGAAAAAAGTTGAATTCTAAAAACAACATGAATATTTTAATGATAAAATAATGTAGTATGCCTAAATAATTTTCCACATATATTCATACTGTGGGTCAGATTCTCTCGTCTAGACAACCCATGCTTAGTGCAGGACCAGAGGATGGGCCAACAGGGTTTACATATTCTAATTTATGTCCAATTGCCTACAGTCTCAAGAGACCATGCCAATAGCAGCAGCAGAAAGGTGTTCCTGCCATGAACCCTTTCCGTAGAAACACTGCTTGTGCTGGGGTCACTTGGCTGGCTCCATGACATCTAGAAATTCCCGTTGGCCAGGTAAGTGGTTAAGCAGCTGGAATGGGAGCTAAAATCTGGTCCTGTGCTTATTACATTTTTACATTCTTACACAAACAGTAGGTTTGCCCCCAAAAGACACATACTAGCTTACCTCTTTATCCAAACTGGGAAATTTATTTTGCAGTTTCTTTACAAGAGCTTCTTGCTTTTCCCATTCTTTTTGAGATTCTTCCCCTTCTAGCTATGGTTCAGAAAAGATGTAGCAATTTTAGAGATCATTTCACTTAATGCTTCGTAATACTACTATTCAAACAAAAATGAAATAACATGCCTAACTTTGCTTACCTTTTAAATAGTCACCCTTTAAATGATAAAAACAATTTGCAGAAATATCTGAGCTGTGCAGATAGAAATAAGTGACTAATACTGTTTTCTTCATTTATAACTGTGTTCAAAATGAGACAAAACCCTCCAAGAATGGTACAGAAAATTCTTAAGAGTACTGAAAGAGGAAAAAGTTTGAATTCAATAAGAAATACGAGACAATCAAAAACTTTAACCAAATTATAATAAACGGATCTTGGCCAACTTAAAATCATTTAAGTTGCTCTAAAAAAAAATAGAGTGGTTTTATATGATATATGTGATTCTTTAACAAATAGTGCTCAATCAAGTTGATTTTTTTTTAATTATTATTAAACATGAAATTTTGGAGAATATAATTCAGTCTTGACAACTCTTCTTGTGGAGAGGGAAAGGGAAGGCAGACATGGTTAAAGAACTGAAAAAGTCAATTACTCAAAAATGGCCCCTTAAAGCCATTATGAAGTTCAACTGTGTGTCAGAATTTTGGCAAATGTAAAATCCTAGGAAACTGAATATCGTATTAAGGCACAATAAAATTATACCAAACCCTGATAAAAGATTTCCTGACAAAAGATTTCCAACACAGAGAGAGTCTAGGAGAACTACAGTTCCTACTGGTTTGTAAGAAACAGGGAATGTGGCCTAGCAGTTAAAGCTCATAAATTGGAGCCAGGATTTCCAAATTCTACTCTCAGTTCTGTTATGGCCTCACCATATAACAATATAAGAAATCAACGTAAGAACGACCATACTGGGTCAGACCAATGGTCCAGCCAGCCCAGTATCCTGTCTTCTGATAGTGGTCAATGCCAGATGCCCCAGAGGGAATGAACAGAACAGGTAACCATCAAGTGATTCATTCCCCGTCGCCCATTACCAGTTTCTGGCAAACAGAGGCTCAGGACACCATCCCTGCCTATCCTGGCTAATAACCTTTGAGGGACCTATCCTCCATGAACTGATCTAGTTCTTTTTTTAACCCTATTATAGTTTTAGCCTTCACAATATCCTCTGGCAAAGAGTTCCACAGACTGACTGTGCATTGTATGAAAAAATACTTCCTTTTATTTGTTTTAAACCTGCTGCCTATTAAGTTCATTGGGTGACTCCCCCTAGTTCTTGTGTTATGTGAAGGAGTAAATAACACTTCCTTAGTCAATTTTTCCACACCAGTCATGATTTTATAAACCTTCATCATATCCCCCTTAGTTGTCTCTTTTCCAAGCTGAAAATCTCAGACTTCTTAATCTCTCCTCATATGGAAGCCGTTCCAGACCCTTAATGATTTTTGTTGCCCTTTTCTGTATCTTTTCCAATTCCAATATTATATTATCATCATCATTTTTTTTTGGAGATGGGGCAACCACATCTGCACGCAGTATTCAAGATGCGGGCATAGCATGGATTTATATAGAGGCAATGTGATATTTTCTGTCTTATTATCTATCTCTTTCCTAAGCATTCCCAAAATTCTGTTTGCTTTTTTAACTGCCACTACACATTGAGTGGATGTTTTCAGAGAACTATCCACAATGACTCCAAGATCTCTTTATTGAGTGGCACTGACTAATTTAGACCCCATCTTTTAATATGTAAAATGGGGATTATGTTTTCCAACGTGCACTACTTTGCATTTATCAACATTGAATTTCATCTGCCATTTTGTACCCAGTTTTGTGAGATCCTTTTGTAGCTCTTCGCTGTCTGCCTGGAACTTAACTATCTTGAGTAGTTTTGTATCATCTACAAGTTTTGCCACCTCACCGTGTACCCCTTTTTCCAGATCATTTATGAGTATGTTGAACAGCACTCATCTCAGTACAGACCCCTGGGGGACACCACTATTTACCACTCTCCATTCTGAAAACTGACCATTTATTCCTTGGTCTAGATGAAGTTGTGATCTGATCTTCACACCTTGTATCTCCCAGCCCAGCCCAAAGATAAGATCCAGAGCATGTCAAACAGCAGGAGTGAAGCCAGCAAAAGTCCTAGGCCATTGGTGACACCATGAGGTACTGAACAAACACTCATGGAATTATGGTTCCGGATCATTTCAACATCCACACCAACAGTAAGTCTTGATGACTTCAGTGTCAAGGTCAAAAAGGGCTCAAGGAAGGATGTAGGACAACATTAGGTTACTTTTACATCAGCAAGCGGGGAACACCACACAACGAGTCCAAATATGGGGTGCGGTAGCGCCTACAAAAAGAATAACCAGACCTCTCTACTATCCAGATCTCATTGTTGGCTCACGTGAAGCTGTGACCGAGTGGATGAAGGCCAGCAATATTTTCCAGCCAGCTCTGGGAATCACGTGCTTAACCATATTGTTAGATCACATAAGCACAGTAAGGAAGCTTCTTTAAAAATCACCACAGCAGTCAGGCCAACTTGCAATCCCTTCTCAGCAGAGGCCAGGGACAGAGCTTGTGACAGACCAACTCCCTGTTCACCTGAGGTGAAGGTCACGATCAAGCTCACAATGCAGCTGCCTACAATATTAGCAGTGGTATGCACGTACTGACGAATCACCAGACATACAGGCAAATCACCTTACTTCTCTCGCTCATCTGTAAAATGGTTATACTACTACTTACCTATGTGTCAGAGTTGTTATGAGGCTTAATTAATGTTCATGAAGCCCTCTCAGATGTTTAGCTGCATGATGCTAGAAGCTACTGAATTGCCCAACAGTAGTTGTCAGCTCACCTGCTAGCACTCTGCCTATGGAGCACATGGGTCCCAGGTTAATAACTACAGTAACATTTAAAATGAACACTTAGCAAGTCCAGGTACTGTGTCTAGTTTCTAGTCACTAATTAGCAAACCAAGTGGTAGCCCTTAATTTGTAATTCTCTCACTTCTGTTCATTTAGGTTGAACACATATTTTATGAAGGCTTTTTGTGAAACTGGTTAGAAAAATTCAGACAACCTATTTTTTGGTGGAATTTGATTTGTTGAAATCAAAATGTTTCAAAGAGATTATTTAATTTCAAGATTCTAACAGAACACTGCCCACCAGGCAGGTTTCAAAACCTGGCTACCAGGTTTCCTTTGGAAGCCTGCCCTATCTCCTGCCAGCCCGCCAGCCCAGGTCCTCAGCAGCCTGGACCTTCCAGGCTCATGGCTCCCCAGCAGCCCATCTGGCAGGCTAATAGGGAACCAGGAGCCTGGAACCCCAGAGTCCCATCTCCCAGGCTTGCTAGCTCCCTGGCAGCTTGGGCTCCCAGCGTCCATGGTTCCAGGGCAGTCTGGCTCCATTCCCTTTTGGAAAGAAACATGTTTTTTTCCCACCAAATTAGAACTAAACCAGATTTCAAAATTCAGTAGATTCCACTTATTAGCAACCTCTGAGTTCCAAGAGAAAAATTGCTGTTTTCCAGAAGTTGCCAATAAACAGAAGGTACTATTTTCAGGGGGATACACAGAAATATGAGTGTGGAACAATGATACATTGTACAATGAATTGTTTATTAACTTTCAGTTTGATACAATGTCCTGAAGAAGAAAACCAAAGGTGACGTACAGAAATGGATATATTGTATAGTGTACCACAATGCGTAGAGCAGATGTAGGAAATCTTAGGTTGCTATAGGTCACAAAGACTACAGTGGCACACAATTCTATCATGACAAGCATTTAAAAAGCACCCAAGAAAACCTACAATATGTGTCTATAGGCTGAACTGCACTGTATTTACAGTTAGTGCTCCTCATGTGTGTGAGAGTAAAGCAGCACAAAATTTTACTGTATTTCATATACAAAAAATGTTTTAAGAACACCATTTGTCCATTGTTATCTTCTTTATACAGTTTGCCACCTCCAATTGTAAATCCTTCTCAATTTTGCGTGCAGCCTCGTAACCACTCTCAAAGCCATGATTCCGGCATATTCTGCAGAAAACGTCCACTGCCCGTAGCTGTTGTATAAGCAAAGGCTCTGCAGGTTCATCGTCCCATCCAGTATCCACTTGTGCCCCAGCCTGTAGGCACTTGACACCTCTACCGTCTCCAAATGTTTGGCATCAGTGAACTCACCTTCCATCTCCAAATGACTGTCAAACTCAACAATGGCCTCAAATTCCTTAGCTGTTAGACTGTCAGGAACTGAAACGTCGGCCAGCATATCAATGTCCACCCAAGCCAGCATTTTCTGTTGTTCATACAAACCTGCCCTTTCTGAAGCAGTTATGAACAGTCTTGAGGAGAACAGGAACCCATGACTCCTTAGCAAGATGAAGTGCAGCAGTTATTTTTTTTGGCAACATCCACTGCTAGTAGATGTGGGTCAGGATAGAGAGAGGCCATGATGCGTCCATTAAGACGAGCATGGCAGTGACCTTTGAAGTTTTTAATGAGACCAATCTCCATTGGCTGCATAACAGAGGCTGTGTTCAGAGGCAAAAATTTTAACACAATGTGTGACAGCTCTACAATCGAATGAGTTGGTCAGTTATCAATAAACAGGCAGACATTGCAGTCCTGGAGTCCCAACTCCCTGTTCCAGTTCTTTAGCCACTTTTCAAACAGCACATTTGTCATCCAGGCATTGGCCAAACTTCTGTAGACCATGGGCAGCTTTGAGTGGTCCTTAGGGAAAGAACGAGGGCACTTGCTCTTTCCAATCACCGTAAGAGACAGTTTCTCTGTCCCATCCAGGTTTGTGCAACACAGCACTGTGATGAGGTCCGTAGCTTTTTTCCTTCCTGCAAGCCCTTCTTTTAGCATACCTAGGCCTCTTTCAGCACTAGTCTCATCCGCACTGAAAATATCACAAGGCTGGAAGTCCTCTAGAATGCTAGGTAAGGCATCCACCCTCCAGTCATTACCCACCAGAAGATCAGCATCTTGTTTCTTGCCGCGTTCCTCATGCTGAATGACACTGTGCTGGACTTTCCAGCAACAGAACCAGCGATCCACAGGGTTGAATTCGTTCCCCTGCTCTGCTGCCAGCTGACTCGCTTTCTGTTTCAGCATCAGCCCAGAGAGTTGAGCGCCTTGGCCAAGCTTATGCTGAAACCAGAGCCCCAGGGCTTCACCAACATCGGTCTCCTTTCCATTGTCTTGATGCTTGCAGCCTCTTTGTGCTGTTCTCATGCGCCTGTAAAATGTTACGGCTGTTCTTCAGAATGAACAAAACAACCAACTTTGAGACAAACTTTTCAGCTACTCACATTTACTTAGTGCCAGGCTCACATAGGGCCTACAGAACCCGAATTTACTGGTGAGAAATACATCCATATATTTGGAAGCCATGGCATATACATAAGTGCTCAGCTGTGCATGCTCAGAGCCAGGAATCTGATTACAGGTAGGACCGCTCCTCTAAAGAGTTGTTAGTAAGCAGCATGCCTCTTCTTAGTAGCTGAATCTCATTAACATTGATGTTGATAAGTGGGTATTTAATCGCTGACAATATGTCGCCATTAACCAGAAATTGCTAATAATCAAGACTGATATTAAGCGGAATCTACTGTAACAAAATCCTCTGCAATGTAATTGCCTTTCTCCACCCATCTCTACTTTTAACAAAAGAATTCCCATCCTTGCTATACCATAGTCTAATGTCATCCTTTTGCCATGACGTCGTGTGCGTTTCCAGGGTTTGGCCTGAAGATGGGATTGTAGACATGTACATCAAATATATCAGATACAAAACTGAATGGGTCATCTTCAGAATACAGCTCCTCTTTACTAGCTAAGGTTATCAAAATTACCTAAAATTTGGTTTACTGTTCCAAGTTCCTTGTAAACATTTCCCCAAAACAACTAAATTACCATTTTATTTTATATATAAGCATCAATATATATATATATATATATATATATATATATATATATATATATATATATATATATATATATATATAC